AACCCACAACCTCTTATGTAGGAGTTCAACTTGGTACCATTAGACTACAAGGTCCATGGTATCATCAATATTAATTATTAGTTGAATTTAGGAATTTTATCAAACAAACAATTTCCAAAATTATTAAAAAAAAATGGATTGACCACAACCGTCCATCAAATTCATGATTGACTGTTTTAGTAAAATAAAATGTGGTCTGGAAACTGACTGCGCAGACACTATAAATCTAACAGTGAGTGACGAGGCTTACAATGGTCCGAAAGGAATGTTGTCAACCTGTGCAGAAACACGAAGAATTGGAGCTGGGATATCAAATTCAGACATGTCCCAAGGGAGCAAAACAAGGTGGCTGACTTTATTGCCAAGTACAATTATAATGATGAAATGCAGATGGGCTCGGTCGTGAGGAACAATGAAGAAATGCAGAGAGCCTTACGCGATGATGAGCTTGGCTTGTTGGGAGTTTCTAACATTGTGAGGATCAACCGTTGATCTTGGATATTTTCCTCCCCATTTTCAAAAAAAAATGTGATCAATTTTGTAATTATAATAAATTTTTTAATTTATACAATTGATCACGGTCCTTTTTTTTTCAACCGCTCTTCTACCCAAATTGATGGATCAAATCAATCCTCACTTTTTACTGGAGGCATCTTATTACCTAAACCCTCCCTATATATATACCCAAAAAAAAAAAAAAAAAAAAAAAAAAAAAAAAAAAAAACAACAACAACAACAATTTGGTCATTATAAACACACTTCATTTTTGTAATTTTTTTTAAAAAATGATAATACTCCCTATTACAATTTGGGCATATTTTCAAATTATATCGACAACTGATTCAATAAATAATACGCATAATTACAACAATAAATATAATAACTATAAATAATGAGTACTAAGCAGAAGCGCCTCCGGTGAAAATTGAATCACAACCCGCCTCTGGTGAAACTTGAATCCCAACCCTCTTCTAAGATCAAGGAATCTCAATCTTTTTAATCGATAGACAAGAATTCATTGACTATATGTTTCAGATTCAATTTCATTTCTTTTTGAGTTTAATTTCTACCCCTTTAATTTGAATATCCCAAAATAGCTTATTATATGTGCTTTAAAAATGAAAAGACGTTCAAAACTGACGTATCATTCCAATCGTTTAAATTTTTTCTATAAAAATCAACCTTTTAGTCTTTTCGTTGTGAAATTAAAATTAAAAAACTCAGAAGTCTAAAATATCGATTTCGTTCTTACTAATAAAATTAATTTGTGTTTATAACATAAAATGAAGAATGATTTCATCTTAAATAATTTTTTTTAGCAAATCAAAATGCTCAAAATCAAAAAATCAAAAAATCAAAAAATCAAAAAAAAAAAAAAAAAAAAAAAACACACACACACACAAAACATAAATTCTGAAGGATGTTTACCTGAAAGCTAGCAACGTTGTTACAGCGAACTTCATAGAATCTTTATCCACGACCCGCCGACAACGACATCATGCGTCAAACATCGTATGTCTAAGCAAATGTTTTTTTTTTTCCTGTTAATAAAAAATGAAAATTAAAAATAATAATAATAAAAGACTCGAGGAACGTATACAACAAAAGAAAGTAAAGTAGACCTGAGAGTGAATGAGTCATGAGTGTGTGTTTTGGTGTTGTGCCTCATAATTTTGCTAATACCAATACCGTATTTATATTTTCATTTTATTTTATTAGATAAAATTTTTATTTTTTCACGCTTTTTGTTTTCTGAGTCACTTAAGTATGATGTCAAAAGTTTAATCATAATATTTTATATTAGGAAACAATTTTGATGTTTTAAAAATAATGAAAACTAATCTTTATATTATCTTTTATCTTCTTTATATATATAATAAAGCAGAATCTAGCCACAAAATTTTACCTCCAAAGTGTGAATGCATTTTGATAGAAACAAGATCAACAAGTATGAATGCATTAATTGTGTGGGTAGATGTATTTATACATACTTTTTTTAAGTTATTATGTGTATTTATATTTTATTATTATAGCTCTATCTCTATCTCTATATACATTAAAGCATAATGAAGTATGGAAAAAAGTTTATTGTGTTCATTATTGGTAAAATTTTATATTTAATATAATTTGTGTATAATTCATTTAAACCTCAATTATAATTAATTTGACTCCACATATTTAAAGAGGAGAAGTTAAATATAAAATAAATATAGTTCTTACATAAATAATCTTTTTCAAATTAATAAGTTTTTTGTGGAGATTTTTGACAAATATTGCCTGTTATTTTATTTATAAATTTTATTTAAATACGTTAATTATATAATTAAAGTAGTTATTTCAATTTCAAATTCAAAAATTCATATAATTAAACTTTTAAAATATTAAATATTACATCTGAGCTTAAGAACTCAAGTACGTTTTTCTGTTTCCACGACCATTACTTTATTTGATAATTCAGAAGATGTCAAAAATTTAATTGATAAATTTATTAATAAATTAATAATAATTCGTGCATCACACGGAACAATTACTAGTTGTTCAAATAAAAGGAACATATTAGTGGTGAAATTATAAAATATAAGATAATTTGGTCATAATTTTTAGGTTTTGATTTTCTAAATGACCAACTTTGACTTATGTGGTAAGATGATGATATAGATGTTGTTGAACATTTTATATATTAGAAAAGCCTAAACGTCCTTGTTGAAAACTCAAGGAAAGCCTTGATCAATAATGACATCTTGGAGTATAATAAAACACTTGGCGTTCCGATCTCATTCTCATATAGTTAGATTCACGGTGTGAAAAGAAAACCGGAGAGGAGATTGAGGGGAGGGAAGAGGACGAGCTCGATGAGCTCGAACAAAGCATCATCTGGGATTCTACTCTCTTAGTAATGAATACTTGACTTTCTCGTTGGCTTGAGATATGTCCTATGAAGGCCCACGGATCGTGAACTTCTTTTTCCGGAGAAAAAGCAATGACGGTATCTGGGGAATAAGCATCGGCTAACTCTGTGTCAGAACTCGAAAGCACCTTATGTAGACTATAGGCTACGATCTTTCGTCTCTTATGATCTTTCTAGTTAGAGAGAAACATCACTCCTAAAAGCAATCTTATAACTATACGACGAAGCGTCTAAGCACAGTTCACTCGCGTTGATCAATCTTCAGTGTTGCCGCCACTCTTTAAGGTTATCTGTTGTATCATACACTTCTTTCATTCTTTCCCACGCTTCATACCTCCTCTTTTTGGAAAAGGTTTCTTTGGCAAGCCAGAGAGTCAAGTCGTTTACCTGGCCGGTATCGCCGGTAGTCTGCTTTTACACTTGAGTGATAAGTTAACAATATGAAACGTAAATTTCTTGTTTTGAATACTACTTCTAGTGTTCAGAAGAAAGAAGGAATGGGGGAATGCCAAAAGAAAGCCCTATTACAGATCGACAAGCCAAAACGAGGAAAGGGAGTACCGATTGAAGAGTGAAAGTACCCCCTAAAGCCTTTTTTCTTTGTCAGATCAGAGCAAGAAAACTCCTGCAACAAAAGCGCAATGGTGAAGGACCAAGAATCCACCGATTCACTGAGTTACTTTTTCTTACCGCTGGGTCCCTATCTCTTAAAGCATATATATATATATATATATATATATATATATATATATATAGAGAGAGAGAGAGAGAGAGAGAGAGAGAAAGAGAGAATTCAAATGTGGTAATAGGCTTCAATTAAAATCTCAGACCTTTATCTAATCAAAATCAACTGCCCAGCTTGAACACAGATTAAAAATTTTTTTAAAAAAATGCGATAACAATTTGGTCTGTTTGCATTTAGCAGGTTAAATTTAGAGTGCGTGGTTTTCTTTCTTAAGGTGCATGATTTTTATGCTTAAGGTGCGTGGTTTTCATGTTGTGTGCTTAAAATACGTCAATTGTTGAAACTTAAGGTGCGTCGATTTAAAGTTTTAGATACGTAGTTTTTCTTCTTAAGGTGAGTGCACGTGATCTGTGTGTTGTGCATCAGCCTAATGACGCACCTTAATATGCCACTAGAGTACTAGACCACAAGGTCATTGGCTAACATGTTGCCTTCTTATCCTTACCCTGATCGGAAGTGTACAAATTATTACCTCGTATTTCTATTTGAAATTATTTTAGAAAACTGTCGATGACCGTCTTCCATGTAGAGATGGCAACGGGGCAAGGCGGGGGCGTGGAATAGGGTCCCCAGGGATCATTTTCTTTATTTTTATTATTATTATTTATTATTATTATTGAAACTGAAATTCTAGAAGTCTGAAATTCAAATGGTGTTTTGGCAGCGAGTGATTCAAAAATCAAAACTAATTATTAATTAATAAATATTATATATATATATATATATATATATAATTCCCCGTCCCCGTCCCCGGCGGGATGAGGAAATTATCCACATTTCCGCTTTCGTTTCCTGAAAAAATTTCCCTTAACCCGCTCCCGTAAAGGCGGAGATCAATTTTTTCCGTCGGAATCGGATTGAATTGTCATCCCTACTCCCATGTTAATAGTCAACTAGTGGTTTCCTCTCATGTTGTACAATTGCAGTTGTCCCTAAACACAACAAAGACAGACATGGTTATCTGGAGACAAATAAGATCCAAATTGGACCTTTTGAGATGAAGATGACCATTATTATCTCAAGACAGCCACGATTGTTTATAAAAGATCTTCCATTAGACATCCATGGCTTTTTTTTGGGTGCAGTCCAAAATTTCCCCTATCGAACACAGTAACTAATCCCCTCGCTGAATTGTAATCATCTCTATTGGGTGATACAATTGACCTGGAGATTTAAAATTGCTCCATACCTAAAGTCAAAGATCGAACCTTTGATTAAGGATGAATGAGTCTCTTGCACTCAACCACACTCCGGGTTATTAGACATCCATGGCTGTCATTTAATAATCAGCTAGTAATGTCATTTAATTCCATTTTTGGTCTGTCAAATAAAGTAACAATACAGAAATTAGTTATCAATTCAACTTTCAACATTGATACTATCTGACAAGTTTCCAATTCATCAATTATGATTATTGAACTATCAAATCACCACACAAGGTCACAAGTTGAAGAAAATGGGTATTTCACATTCTTGACAATAAAATTTGGCAAAAAAAAAAGGCAAAAGTGATGATGGGAGGCAGCCGCCTTTTGGATCGCCAGATGTAATGTACCTCTAGTCGGACTTCTTGGCAAGACTCAACAACACGCCAGCTCCAAGACAGGTAGCCACGACGGCAAGGGACACCTCGGTGGTGACGTGGAAGCCTGCGCAGGAGTTATGAAGACGAGGATTAGAATTCATATGCGCAAGAGAAATGACCGAGCGGGTTGCTTCTGCAGATACTCACCGAAGAAATCCAGGATCATCTTACACCCGATAAAGCCCAGAACAACAGCAATTGCAGGCTGTTCATATCAAAAACACGAGATTTTATTTTATCAAATATAACAATAGAATTGGTGACTTAACATTATCAGTAAGTAATAATGCAACTCCGTTATGTGTAACAAAACCACAAAGATGTAGCTCGATTGAGTAACCGAACCTTGTAAACAAGCCATTGACAAAGTTTATACTGTTCTAGTGTTCCCGTTCATATTATTTATATTGATAGTATGTTGTATACTCATCAAGTATATATCTAATAGAAGTGAGTGTATGACACACTCGTTCTGCAGAAAGTGTAAACCAGAAAAAGAATCAAATATCACCTGTAAATACTCCAACTCTGCCATACTCTCGGAAACGAGCGTGTATAATGACCGTAAACCTGCACAAGCAAGATTTCGTTTTATCAGAATACATTACAAATATCAACTTCTTGCTAGTTGAGCGGTGCTAAAAAAAAATTCAGTCCAGAATCGAGAAAAACACAGCAAGAGATGCTGCCACATCCAAGATTTCAATCAACTTTGGTAAAATAGTTAGCCTATCAGCCAATTTTGGCTTATTTGACCACTATTAGTTGTTTGACTTGGTTAAATAATTAATATGAGTGTTTGATTAATTAGCTTTTTGTAACAATTTTTTGCTCCAAAATGCTAAAATTCAAAAAGCTACTCAAAGTAGCTTGTTCGATTAGCTTTTTGAGAAAGTCATTTGTATGTAATCAGCTAACAACTAACAGCTAATTTACCAAACATTTTTCTACAATCAGCTAATATTATCAACTAGTTTAAACCTATTAACCAAATCAACTAACAGCTATCAGCTAGCCATCCAGTTATAATTGGATTCAGGTGTCACCAAAACCATTTTGAAATTTAAAATGGAAGAGGAATATAGAGCAACAGTACCTAAAATGGCGAAGATATTAGAACTGAAAACAATGAAAGGATCTCTTGTAACACCAAAAACGGCCGGTATAGAATCAACCTGAAAATAAGCATCAAAATCATCATTAACAAAAAAAAAAATCAAGGAATCTAGGAATTAAACCTTGCATAATATGGACAGCACGTACAGCGAATGCAATATCACTGAGTTCAATTACGGCTACTGTGAGGAGTAAAGGTGTAGCCTGCCCAAAATGTGTTACGCCTGTTAGAAATCAAGGAACAATTAATTCGAAACAAAATATCTTGTCTTCAAACTTCTTTAGTTTATTGTGTTGAACTGCAAATGGAGAAAACTTTGTTCTCCATTAAATAGTAGACGTTGAATAGCTTTTGATCAAAGTAGAAATGCGTTATTAACACGTAGTGATGTAGGTAATTGTTATTGAAGTATCATTCCCGAAACGAGAAAAAATATAAACCGGTAAAATAAATTAAAAGAAGACATACTTTCCGAATGCCATCCTGAACTGTTATGAATCTATTGCCATCATACTCGGCTGCAACCGGGAAAAAAAAAAAGTTAGATCTCATTTAAACTTCAATCTGGTGCATTGATGCAATATCATATCACGCAAGATTACAAGGATTAAGAGAGAACAATACAGGTTACAGGAATGAATCTCTGGCAAGTCTTTACTATGAAGTTGTCAGAAAGATCAGTATCTCCATCTTCTTGGGCAAACAGCTGTGATGAATTTTTTTTTTTTTTTTTAATTTAACATTAGCATGGCAAAGAATATTGACGAAGAATATGAAATATAGGCAAGTCAAGGAAAAAAATAGAGTACAAAGTTCGATACAAGAGCCGAGGAAGAAATGGCACCTTGAATGATGAGTAAAGGAGTAGCGCTGCCAATAGTAGGTTAACTGCCTCGAACCTCTAAAAGAACATCGGAATATTTATGAAAAACTAATCCAAGTTACATATTTTGATAATTGGTATGTGTATGTATAAATATTCTTCCCGTATGTATCAGTTGGGAATTAACTGGTAACCTGAAGAGTTGCTGTCCCGAGCAGTATGATAGACAATCGGAAGATTATTGCTCCAGCAATTCCATATGAAAGCACCCGATTCTATAATCCAATGCATGGTAGGTTTTAGCCGTGAACACAATCATAACAGATATCCAAAGAAAAAATAATTAGAATGAGAACAAAAATGTGGCAAGTAGCAAACTTTAGAAGGGACTAAAAATCTAAAATAGAATACCTGATACGCGAGGGGCACTTTAAAGTACTTGAATATCAAAACAAAGACGAACAAATTGTCCACCGACAAGCTCTGCTCTAGTATATACCTGACAATTTAAGCGAAAACAACAAAGGAGTGAAACTCAATATCGATTCCACTAAATATACCATCTCGAGACCAAGTAATAAAGAAAAATCCTCCATAGAATATCGGACAGAAATCACCTTAAAATTAGTTTTAGGCAATAACCTTGATTACACAACAATAAACTATACGATTTGTGGAATTGAAATGCGAGTAAGAAAACGTGCAACTTTTTACCCGGCAAAAAACTCAGATGCCTTTTCGATCCCATCCTTGAAACCCAAACCAACACCAAATGCTACTGCTGACAGCACCTAAAATAATGAAGGGCTATACTCCCCTTAATTAGAATGTTCAATATCATCAGAAATAAATTTGACAACTTGGCATAGCCATGATCAAGGAAAGTACTTACACATAGGGCAACAATCCTAACCGAAGATACGTAATTTTCAGACCTGTCAGTACTGCAAGAGCTATCAATATCGTTAATGCTCTTATGCGATTGAGTACGTGACTTCTCCTTCTCTGCACGACAGTTTTACCAGCCATATTACTTTATAACAGAAAACAAAACTGCAAACCATCAACTATCAACTCTTGTAATTTCTAAAGCACTCCAACAATATTCTAGTTTTTACTCATTCCATTTCATTCAACAATGACCTCAATTCTATTAAGTAATAACCCAAACTCTAGGGGCAGTCCCATCCAAGTTGGTCAGGCAATTGACTTTGGTAAACATAAGGTTACAAGTTCATCCTTATGAGCCTAATTCAAAGATAAATAAGAGTTGCTACAACAATTATATCTTTACAAATATGTACCCAAAAAATCTCCTTTTTTATTTCATACACACAGAAATACTACCTCCGTCCCATTCTACCTGTCTTACTTTCCTTTTTCATTTGTCCCAAAATAGTGTCATCTTTCCAAAATTGAACATAACTATCACTCTACATTTCTCAATTTACCCTTTTGACTTTTCAAATTTGGTAAGTACACTTGTACTTTATACAAATAACACCTGAGGGGCAAAATTGGAAAGTTAGTAACATTTGTTATGTTGTATTAAGAACAGTGTAAAAAGCAAATGAAGACATTCAATTAGGGATGGAGGGAGTAAGAAGTAAGAACAACTCAAAGGTCGAAATTCTTACCTGAAGTAGACGATTGTTCTCCTTGTTCGGTTTTTCTTGAACACACAATCGCAAAACTATGCCTTCGCCCAAAACTACACCCAGCTGAAGGATCAAACGCACAAATAAGCATTCTATCGAGCTCAAAAAACTGATCTTTTTCAGGGACAGAAAAAGTGTAAATCATTACCTGAACATGGTGGTGGAGAGTGAAGTGGAGCCAACCGAATCCGAACCCGTCTTGGGTTCGCATCAAACGGGTAGATTGGGGAATTCCTGAGGGAGGCATAGGTGAAGCCTGAAGGTGGAGCTTGGGTACTGCTATGGTGGACTATAGAAGCCAATTTCATGGCTTCAAACCTGAAGTATTCTCCTTTTTCGAACAAATAAAGAGTGAGTGCAAAGAATCAGAGTGCGTTGTTCTTCGAAATATCAGTCTATGAATATTGTTTGAAGATGAGCGGATGCGGCGTAGCCACAAACAATGGGGGAGGGTATGAGCATCAGTCCGAAAATCAAGAAACATTTCTCTTTCACTCTATCTCAAATATTTATAAATAAAAATAGAGAAAAGGGTCAAATTGACCAAAGGTCAATGAGGCTCCTAAATTTTTGAGTAAATACCTAAAATGATCCCTCGACTATAGCTAAATTTATAAATTGGTTCTTGACTTTTAATTTCAACCAATTAAGTCTTTAATTTTGTAATTTTAACACAATTTGGTCCTTTATCTATTTGACCATTTGTTGATTGCGCTTTTTTAGGATATATATGTCATTTCATAGTCCATCGTCGTTTTTTAAGGTTCCGGTTGCATTTCTAGACAGCACTGTTACATTTGAATCCACTGCCGGCGTTGCACTCTATGCCGGATAGATTATAGCTTTTGATAGATAGATCGCCGAAGTCCCTGGAGTGGCTCTTCGAGAAAGCCGCGACTCCAAGCGATGTAGGCAAGCTGAACCGGCTCGAGATCCCCAAGCAGCAAGCAGAGAAGCACTTCCCCCCTCCGAAACGGCGTTGTCACCTCCAAGAGCGTTCTCTAAGCTGAACCGACTCGTGATTCCCAAGTAGCAAGCGGAGAAGCACTTCCCTCTCCGAAACAACGATGTCACCTCCAAGAGCGTTCTCTTAAGCTTTGCACGTGAAACTACATATATATCCTCAAATATCGCGGTCAACAAACGGTCAAATAGATGGAGGACCAAATCGTGTCAAAATTGCAAAGTTAAGGACTTAATTGGTTGAAATTAAAAGTCGATGATCAATTTGTGAATTTAGCTATAGTCGAGGGACCATTTTGGGTATTTACTCTAAACTTTTCAAAAGTGTAATTAAATTCTTAAATATGTCAAATTAGATCAATGAAGCTCAAAAATCGACCTGTTATTACAAGTCATTTCAATTCCGGCGACGGATTCCGACCACTGGTGAAAAAATCCGACCGTCCAGCCGTCTTCCACTGGAGAAGACGACCCGACGGCCGCCTTCTCCAGTGGAGAAGACGACCAGATCTGGTCGTCTTCTCGATTGGAGAAGGCGGGGCCGTCCGATCGTCTTCTCCAGTGGAAGACGACCGAATTTTGTCGACGGTGACCGGATTTTTTTGCTTGTAGCCGGAATTCGTCGCCCGTCATCGGAATTGAAATGACATGTAATAACATGTCATTTACCGATTTTTGAATTTTATTGACCTAATTTGACATGTTTAAGGGTTTAATTGCACTTTTGTAAAGTTTAGGGACCTAATTGACCCTTAAGGTAAAGTTTAGGGGCCTATTTGATCATTTTCTCTTAAAAATATGAGTAAGGGTCAAATAGGCAATTGAACTGCACACGGTAATACAATTAGACCACTGAACCTAAAAAATCTACAATTGGGTCCCTAAACTAACCATCATATAATTTTCCCAATTTACAGGTTTATAACAATTCAACCCTAATTAAATTATTTAAAAAATTGAAAAATAATTATTAAAAAATAATAATAAGAAAAATAACTTCCCGCCGGAGACGAATAAACTTTCTTGTCTCCATGGCCGGAAGCGAAGAAGGTTTCTTCGTCTCGGGTAGGAAGTTTTTTTTTTTTTCTTTTTTTTTTAAAAAATTTGTTTTAAAACTTTTTTAAAAAAATTATTAAAAAAAATAATAATTTAATTACGATTCACTTGTTGGAAACCTGCCAATTGGATGAATTATATGAAATTCGTTAGTTTATGGACCCAATTATAGTTTTTTTTAGGTTAAATGACCTAATTGTATTATTATGTGCAGTTCGATGCCCTATTTGATCTGTATTCCTTAAAAATATTGTATAATTTACATGTGGTCAATCCGGTCTTGTGACTTTAACCGCAAAGGTATAACTTTTGTGTAATTAGATTATTGGACTTCAAACGTGTTCATTTGAACAACTAAACAAGTAAAATGTGTGCAATTAAAATATTAAACAAGCAAAGTATGTTTAATTTGAATATTTTTTTTTATTTCTTTCAATGCAATTTGAGTTTAAAAATTTTCAAATTTTCATTCCAACAAGCACAACTGAAGAATGATAACACATTACATCATAATACATATTATGTAAGTAATGTGACTAGATTCTATTCAAAAATTTGAAACAAATATTTCAATTGCACAAAATTTTAAGTTTAGTGATTTAGTTATACAAAAGCTATAAGGTCGATGATTCATTTGATACTTTTTTAGGGGCGGGGTTAGGTGTAGAAATTGCACTAGTACAAAAATGTTAATCTCCAACCCTTGTAGTCTTGTATAATGATCGCGTATGACGGAAAGCTTTGAGGTTGAATATAAGTATACATATATTTTTTACAAAATTTTTAAAATTAACACCATTATATTAATAAAGGAAAATGATCAAATAAACCATCACATTTTACACAAAAATACAATTAGGCGGCACATAAACTTTTGAAAGGTGTCGTCAAGCACACATACATGTCGTTTAGTGCACTAAAGCCCAACAAACATGTTGGTGACATGTAATAGCATATTGATAGGACTTCGGGGATGTTCTGACTATCTCCAAGAAAAAATTGACGACCATTGATCAATGAACAATCACTAGTTGTTTCCCTATTATTATTAATGACAATGACAATTGTCAACCACAACTAGTAGCGGTAAAAGACGACATGCATATTGATAACATGTTGGTTAATGAAAAAATTGTCTTATTTGACTTATTATAATAAGTTGACGTGCTTAATTACACTTTTAAAAAATTCATAGGTTTAACTGCACCTATGTACAAAGATCAAAGGTGTATTTGACCAGTCGCCTTCTCTCTGTAGAAGAAGACGACGCCAGCAGGCTACTTCTCCAATGGAGAAGATGACCGGTCTGGTCGTCTTCTCCGATTGAAAAGGTCACCGGAAGTTTTATTTATTTTTATTTTTATTTTTATTTTTAACGATGTTGATCAATGATTAGTGGTGGTCAACAACGGCCAACGTCGATAATGTTACTGGTAACATATTGACTACCAGTAAATCGAACTTATTTGACTCATTTTAATAAATTTAAGTATTTAATTACGTTTTTTTTAAATTTAAAGATCTATTGCACATTTAAGTAAAGTTCAAGGGTATATTCAATTCTTTAAAAAAAAATATATATTTACCAAATCACAATTGAGGGATAAAAATATATGAGTTTCCCAATACCTCAATATCTTAATCGGCTGGGCTAAAAGTACCAAAAACCAGAGGGTCAAGAGCTTACACAAGTCCGGAATCTTAAAGCGCTCTCACGTTTTGTCCGCGGAATTCTCACCCAACGATACCATTGCAGCAGCGCAATCATTCTTCAATCAGTCTACTGCTCCTTCCACCGCACACATGGCGACGACCACCGCAAAGAACACCGAAGTCCCCACGAAAACCCTATCTCAACCGTCAGATCCCAATCCGACGGCGGACGCCGAGGCTTCTCACCTCACAAACCCTAACCCTTCGACCTCACCATCAAAGGGCGAACACAAGGCGGCGGCCACCACCGCCACCACGACGGCGGTCAACAACGTAAGCAGCGACATTTCATTCGACGTTCAAAAGAAGATTAAGCGCGCGGAGAGGTTCGGAATGCCAGTGCAGCTGTCTGAAGAAGAAAAGCGGAATTCGAGAGCTGAAAGGTACGGGTATTTAGTTATTTACTATACTACGTTTTAGGGTTAGGGTTTCAGTTTCGTTTTCTTTTATTTAAAATTCGATTTTTACGTTTCTTTTGTCATCCCTAACAAACACCCCTGGAATTCATTATCGAGCACCGTTTAGGAAATACAGTGAAAAGAGCTTGTTTTCCTATTTCTTTCTTTAAGATGTTGCCAACCCTAAGCTGCTATGCAATTGAAATAGAAATATTTATAATAGTCTGCAATAAGTTCTATACCAGGTGTTTTCTTTGTCCCGAGGGCATTTTTGGTTCAAGTACATGGCTTTGTCAATCTTGTATGATCTTCCTTGCTTTGGGTTTGACTTTGATTTGATTGAAACTAGAATATGCAATGGGTATAAATTCTGAATGTTCATAGTGGTCATTAGGAACTGGAACAAGAGGTGCATGTTCTCCATTTGCTAAATTTCTCACCTCACATCCTTAATATTGTATGGCGTGTCAATGTTTAAGTCTCTTCTTGATTTGTTTATTATGTGAATTATTTTGAATAAATATGGATTAGTTAGATAATTTGGGAAGCTTGTCTTCTTAGGTTAAGACAATCTGCATCTTTACCAGGGTAGTTCTAGGGTATTGCCTCTTTGGCAGTCCAGTGGAGTAAGCTGATGTTGGGGAATACTTAGCTTCCTTGCATCTCTTGCTGTATTTCTTTCTCTGCAAATGGATAATTCAAAGAGCAATAGTATATTGTCCCTGTTACAACTATTTCTATTATGGTGTTGTTTTCCCTGTCCTTGAGATTGCTAGTCAGGTGATGGGCCAATGGCATTCCAAAAAATTTATGAAGTATAAATTGCTCCTCTTGGTTTTTGCTTCAGCCTTTCGTATTGAACCTGTCTTATTTCAGGTTTGGCACTGCATCCTCATTACCTGGATCAGATTCATCAAAGAAATCAGAGGAACTGAAGAGGAAGGCTAGGGCAGAGAGGTCACCTAATCTACCCATTTGGTCTATGATTGCATATGGCACTTGTATTCCTTGTGTGACTGTTTGTTTGTTGACTTTTCTATCATGTGTTTAGGTTTGGGCTTGCTCAAACTACCACTACTGATGAGGATGCAAAGAAGAAGGCAAGGCTTGCTAGGTTTGCACCACTGACAAAGGTTGATCCTGTGGAGGAAGATAAAAGGAAAGCAAGAGCTCTCAGGTTATACTTATACAAATGCAAAGTTTTCACTCCTTTAAACCACTGAACATAATTCAAACATTTTTTGCTAAATATTAGAGGAATCAGGGTATATTGAGTATATTCTTATGTAAATTTTCAGGTTTTCACAATCCGAGTCTGATACTCCATCTCAAGAGAACGGAAAAGGAAGCACTGAGGTGATTTTTTTTGTATGTTCTGCACATGTGCTGTTTAATTTGTATGATTTACTCTTTGCTGATTTTAAGTATTCAATCTCAGGAGGCCCCTGTTTTAGGCAATGTTGGAGGAACCTGAATTGTGTGAGGCCCTGTTCAAACGTAAGCTTTCCTCCAATTCCAAGATTTGGATGTACTGCTATGAACTTACTGTTATGGTTGCTTCTCTTTAGGCATCTATACTTGAGCTGAAAATTAATTGTCCTTACCTGGTTCTCTCCCCCATACTTCTTTTGGGGGATTTTCCTTTCTTTTTCAGGCTAGCACAGGTTATGAGACTGACATCTTGCAACTTCACCAGTAGTTTTAAGTACAACTAGGCGTTCATTTTGGTACTTATCCGTTTCGTAGAAAATTTTTCTTCAAGTACAGAAAACGACTCTTGCTATCCCCGATTACATACATGTGGTTAATTTTTGGTTTCCCCGGTGAGCCCTAGGACTGTTGGAAGCAACCCCCTTAGTATTGACCTATCTGAAATGGCCAGTAAACAATGTCAAAAATGCAAATTGCAGACTGAAAGTTTCATAGTTTAAGCATCTCTCATATAACTACTAACTTTCTTAAGTATTTTCTTTTTTCTTGATATTTATTTACTTAATGTTGGATGTCAAAAATCTGATTCAGAACCATCAAATCAATTCTAGACTTCTAGTGCACGCATAGCTTAACCAAATTTTGCAATATAGTGCCAAATGCCCGTATTCTGTTGATGTTGAATGTGACCAAGGTGTGACAGATGTTTAAAATGGTTTTCAACTAATATTATCTTCAACCTATTTCTTAGGTGTAAGATCATTGCAATCTTGAGGTTTCAGTTCATCAGAAAATATAAATCATAAGTATGTTTTTGTTGCATTTAGAGATCAATTAGGAACCTTCTAACTTCCAGTTGCATCCATAGATCTTTGTTTGTTTCAACATGCTCATAGACATTCTTGGCAATCTTAGGCTTTTTAGGAAAGGTAAGGCTAACATTTTTGGAGTTATGTGGTAAGTAATATCTATGGCAAGTCTTTACAATCATTTACCATGATAACAAGGCTATTCTGCATAAAGTTTAAAACACCATGATTATGTGCCCATGTTTACCTTAGTGTCAATTTCGTACTCTGCATTTGTGTCCCAATCTGATTTTTCTTTCTTAGAAGTAGATGAGGAAGCACAGCATGATGATGAAATAATCTATTGCAGATCTTTCATTACTTGTGTCTTGTGTGTGATGGATGATGATTTTGCTTGTTAGGGGTTTTACCGTCGAATTGTTTTCTAGTCTTTGGTATTCGAATTTGACATTGTGAGATGGCCATTTTGAAGGGGGTTTGATGCTAAGGAAGGTGTTTCTGACTGGTCCTACTGGGTGAACCATTTAGGGTGACTGCAGTGCAGGAATTATTATATCACATGTACTTGGAAGAAATTTATTTGTAATTTTTATTTTGGTTAAAATTTTAAAAACTTTTAGGTGAGTAGAATTTTCAATATGCTTTTTAGTTGTGGTTGTGAAGACAAATCTTTAAACTTAATGCACTCTTCAGTCTTCATTCACTTCCAATTTTGTTTCCTGCCTTATATTTGGTGCTATGTATATGTGCAATGGTATTCCATAACTACATCTCTGCTATTCTAGCTTCAATCTTGAAGATCCATAGCATTGCTTATTTCTTTTCAATGTTGGATTAAAATATTTTTTTCAATGAAAAATAGGAACTTCTAAATTTTAAAAACTACAAATAAAAAAAAAATGAAAATTGGTGCCTTTTGTCCTTCAATTATACTTGGTCGCATTTGTCCTTTAATTGTTTGTGGATGTTTTTTTTTTTTTTTTTTTTTTTGGTCTTTTGAGTTAACAAGTCATTTTTATAGATAATTGAGGAATAAAAAATGATTACATTATAATTGAGGGATAAAATGTGTTATATGATTTTATGTATATAGTTATTTTGTATATTTAAAAATTATATTGAAGATATTATTGAACACAAAAAATTAATTTTAAAAATATTAAAAAAATAAACAAAAAAGAAATAATTTTTTAGTAGATTTTGTTAAATTGTAGTATCTGTTCAATAATAGTTAATTTAATTAATAAATACTCCATAGTAAATAGACAGTTTAAATGCGATTGAGATTTGAGAGAGTATCTTTAGGCACAAAAATGGTTATTCTGCCAAAAAATAAAATAAAATAAAAATTAAAAACTTCCAGTAACAGGTCCTTTAAAAATGGTCACCTAAATAAACTATATACAAAGGAGCCAGATATCATTCTAATAATTTTTTTTTTTGTTTTTTTTTATCATTCTAATATTTTATGAATACACACGTACGTATCGGATACATTTTTAATAAGCACTCGGACTACGGGACTAGTGTAATTTATAATTTAATATTTTGTAATATTTACTACCATATTAGTATATAAAAATAAAAATTATATTAAAAATATTATTAAATATAAAAAAATATGAATTTATAAAATAAAATTTTAACGAAAATAAACAAAGAAAAAAATTGGTGCAACCTATCTATAAATAGTCTATAAATAGTAAATAATAATGAAAATAGAGTAAGAGTAGATTTTGGGATTACGATAAATTAATTTCTACATCGTTTTATCCTTCAACAATCATCAATAATACGGAGTATCACCTTAGAGCACAGAAGTTAGAAATGAGTGATCAAGTAGGTGAAACATGATTCTTATACCAAAAAAATTACATAAAGTTTTTTTCGTACGATTTATCTTTTATGTATAGTTTGAGTGGTTTACCTAGTGCTCATCAACAATAATAATTTGAAGCTCGCTCCATTTCCCCTTAAATTTTGAAGCTTGCTCCATTTCCCCTTAAATTTTGAAGTTCGCTTCAATTCAATATTTAAAATTATAAATAGTAAGCTCAATTACGTAATGTCTTTCTAGTACGATTTATCTCCTATGTGTAGTTTGAGTAGTTTAACTAGTGCTCAACACCAACAACAATAATAATTTGAAGCTCGCTCCAATTGGATTTTAGAAATTATAAATAGTAAGTTCAAACGGTGGGAACAACGCCTTGACAGCAGCAACTTGTCTCCGAACTGGCAAACTATCACAGCAGCATCCGGTCGCCGGCTCCTCAGTGGCTACCCAGTTTCGCTGCTACTTCGACGCGGGATACTTTGCATCAACGGCGTCGGCTACATACAGAGTGGTATTGCTCTCGCCCGATGGTTCGTTCGTGGCAGCGAATAACGGATCACTCCCTTTCTGTGTGGACGCTCTCACGGCGGAATCGTTAGCTTGTAAAGAAGTCCTCTCGTGGTTGTTGGATCGTGGAGTAGCATCGGTTGCACTATTCACTGATTGTTCGGTGCTTCACCACTTTATTACTATTACTTTTGCCAGGCCAAGGTCACATGTTGGGGTCGTGGTCGACGATTGTTTACGTTCTATGTCTTTACTTTCTTCATGTTCTTTGCTTCTAGTTTCTAGACATTTCAATTCAGTTGCTCATGCTTTAGTATCTAAAGCCTCTGCTTAGGCTACTTGAGACTCTGTCCCCCCTGACTTTATTTCAGCACTTCTGCATTAATACAAGCTCATTGCTTTTGCTTTCAAAAAAAAAAAAAAATAGTAAGTTTAAAAATTTGGGAAAAAAAAAAAGGACACAACGATTCAACTAATGACTTTCCTTTAACTATATAACTATTTCTAGTACGATTTATTTCTTATATGTAATTTGAGTAGTTTAATTAGTGCGCAACACCAACAACAATAATAATTTGAAGCTTGCTCCAATTGAGTTTTAGAAATAAATAGTAAGTTTAAAAATCAGAAGAAAAAAAAAAATTTCAAAAAGAAAAAGACACAACGATTCAACTCAGCGAATGACTTTCCTTTATCTACTATATTGACTACTGCGGTCGTTCAGGTAAGATTTTGATGCGCCTTTCTCGGTCTGACTCTCTGTCCGTATTCTTCTTCCATTTAGATTCTCAGGTGAAAACCCTAATGCTTTCTCCCGCCCCTCTGACTCGTGTTCTATGTTGTTGTGGTTGACGGCCTCCGCTCGCTTGACTCAACATCCAGGTACTCATCGCACTTGCATTCATACTAAATCTTCATGTTCCGGAATTTACTCAATTCGGTGGAGATGATCTTTGAGTGTTATGTTTGAGTTTCTGGATTTGATTTTATGTACCTTCCGTTATTCATATAGTTCCGCTTTTCCTTATTTTGTGCCTGTGGAAACTGTTCTGTTTGTGGAGATTTCATTTCTGTGCGGTTGAATTCTGTTATGGCACTGGTGCCCGCTAAAACTCACAACCATAGTAGATCATGTACTTCTTATCTGTATCCAGTTTGATGAATAATAAGATTGTATCTCTATAATTAGGGAAGGGATAGAGGTAATTCTAATACTCTAATAGTCTAATGTGGCAAATCAGGAATGCAAATATGCAATGCATCATCTTCTCAGTTTTTGCTAATCAGTAATTGTTTTAGTATAATCTCCGCAAGAAATGTATGCGAATAAGTCTTACCTTGAGTCTCGAATACTTTTTATGAGTGCATATAAAAGTGTTTCATGTTAACTAAAGAGTGATAGTTGTGCATAACAGCATAAGCCCTTCTTTGTGCTTGGTGACACTTGGATGTTCAGGCCTTAAAGGAAATATGTGTGGTGGGCTGGTGCATTCTCATGAGTTTTCCTTAATGACAGTACAAGGAGTGAATTACTTTTTTAAGGAGTGTTGTTGAAATCCAATACAAACTGCACATTAACTAGATTAAGTACTCGGTATCATTAAAAAAAAATAATAATAATAATTACTACTTACTGTCTTAAGATCATACTACTTGGGAATTGAAACCCTAGCTACATCTTAAGAAAAAAACAGATTGGTTTTGTAAAGTGAACTTGCTACATAATGTGCATTTATTTGTTGTACATGAGCAACTGATTGCGAATGTCTATAGCTCTTGCATTTATTTTACCACATGAGATTCATGTGGCTAAGAGCACCCCATTGAAGGGTTTTTTTTCCCCGGTTTTTTTTGAGGCAAACAGGCGGTCTAGAGAGAGAGAAAAAAAACAAAAAACAAAAAAACTCAAGGTGTCCTGCAAATATAAGTTTTTTCATGGTTTTAAGAATTTGAAAAAAGAAAAGAAAAGAAAAGAAAAATTCAAGAGCGTCTCGTCTGGGCAACAAAGCGTGCCCAGCTGCTGCGTCACCTCTGCTGCGCAAGTTTTTTATTTTGTTCTCCTTTCTCTCTCCACACATCCTGGCCTGACAAAAACTCAAAATGGGTTTTTACCATTGAGCTTGCTCTAATGTTATTGTAGGGGAGACATATATCAAAACTATATCCTAGCCTCTAACTAGACATCTGAAGGTGACTGCCACATTTGACAGATTCATCCTTGAGAAACTCCCATGTGGATAGTCATAGGGACTTCTGGGATACAGACACTTTATTGCCTTAGAATAGTAAAATTTTCCAAGCATCATACTTTCTAGCTTTTATTTGCTTGTGTGTTTGTTACTTTCTATAGAGGATGAACCATTATTAATGTCTCAATTTAATGTACTCGTGTGTGGATTGGTATTTTATCCTTTCTTGATTATGTTGTTTAAATTCGGTCGCGTGAAATTCTTAGGACATCTACTTTTATTTGGAGAAAATAATTACTCCTTTGTCCCATTTATATGACCTACATGTTACTTTTATTTGGAGAAAATAATTACTCCTTTGTCCCATTTATATGACCTACATGTTATTCGACTCAAATTATATATAAATGATTTTTTTGTGATCTTTAATTTAGTAGTAATTAATAAAATTATATATTGAAAATTATATTAAAAGTTCTATCAAACACAGAATGTTGAATTTCAAAATTATAAGAAATTGCTTAAGAAAATTAAAAAAAAAAAAAAAAAAAAAAAAAAAAAAAAAAAAAAAGAGTTGGACCAGTGAGTAGTGAATAGTACACATATAAAATGGGAGTATAGGACAAAGGGAGTAGTATTTTGTGTGGTGTTACTCAATTCCGTGTAAATATGATTCATAAGCCTCTTTTAATTGGTATGTTTTTTAATGCCGTGATCTAACACAATCATTTTTTTTGCATCTTCATTTATCCAGTGTTTAATGAGATTAAGTGAAAATGGATTATACAAGCCAAGAAATGGACTTGGACTCTTTCTCAACTGGGGTCTTTGAGTTACCTGGAGAGCCTGCTGTTGTTGTTAATGGATTGCCTCCCCTTCCTCCGAATGACGGAAACCTTGTCCCCTGCCCTGCAATAACTGATACGGAATTGCATAGAGATGAAGGTTTTGGACAATGGTTGGAAGGAAGAGAAGTTCGGAAGTTCTTTGGGGACCAGTTTTACATTGGCAAAGTTCTCAAATATGATGTGGAAACGCATTGGTATAAAGTGGTGTATGAAGATGGTGATTCTGAAGAACTTGATTGGCAGGAACTAAAAGAGATTCTTCTGCCCTTGGATATAGATATTCCGTTAAAGACACTGGCAATGAAGACCGCAAAGAGTACACAGAAACATGCTCAGAATTCTGGAAAAACTGATATTACATATACAGAAACGGGGCTTCTTGAAAGCGGTCAGATTAACCATTCTTAGTTGGTGCATTAATTGTAGAGTATGCGACTCTTGAAACATACTTACTACTTTTCAGTACAAATCAGGCATTTAGAATACTAAAACATCCTGCTGGTCATCGTCTTTTATTGCAACTCTTCTGTGCACCAAATGTACTCTTCCCGCCCCCCATACCCAATGTTTTATAAATACTGTTGACATCATTTACCAGCAGAATGTTTTGCTTAAAACTCATCTGTACATGCAATTTACTTGGATTAATGCCATATATGGTCACATTGATTTCTTGTGTACATTTTTCTGCAGCAAATTGAATTTTATGGCGTACATAATGCTAGATATCGACATTTGTTACTTTAGCTGAATATAGTGATGTTTTCAAAAGCCTACTCAGAGTCTCAGATAATAATGGGACCAGTCATCAAACATCACCTCTTTATATGCAAATTTAGTAAATGAAGATTTGTTTAACAAGGAAGATCCTAAATAAGCTTTTAATTAGTCTGCACAGATACCTTAGTTGATTTCTATATAGTAGATTGTGGGCAAGAACACAGGATCGCGACTGTGATTTACCCCTTTACAAGAACACAAGATGTGCCTTTGTGGACAAGGGCAAGCTTTACATTATAGAGAGAAAAATCCGGCATCCATCTGGGCTATTTTATGTGATTCTGATTTTATATTTACATCTCCATTAGCGTGGTCTCCAATTCCACCTTCCTGGAATGACTTCAGTAACTCCAATGAGGGAGTTCTCAGGTTCTCTATGAATTCTTTGCTTGGCAAGTTGAACTTTATCCTCCTTGGAGTTGAATCTAAAGTTTCACTCACCTGGTCATCATTAATGGAAGAAATGAACATTTGAAACTCTCATTTTTAGTCAATTAGAGGAAAAATTGCAAAGCAAAGAGAGAGAGAGAGAGATTTACACAGTGAAAATTACTGGGAGGAGGAAAGTTTTACTATGATCTAAAAGACAAGTAATGTTCTACCACATTCAACATGAATATTTATCTTTTATTTTATTTTTATTACTCATGTAGCCCAGCTTTGCCGGACTACATCCTGGATCCCATGAACCAACTCCCAAGGCCCATGAGGAGGTAAATCGAGCTTGCCCAACTTCAAAACCCAACACCAAACTGTATACTGCTGTGCACAAGGAATCCAACCCAACCCTAAAAAGGGGGTTAGAGTAAAGAGTAGGAGTAGATGTAATATTACTCTTTAGAAAATTCTTTAGATATTGTATAGTCAAATCACATGTATGGACCTCTTGCCCCCCAATTGAAGCCAAGAATGTGAGGCATACAACAGTCAGAACAACATTTTTATTCCAACAATATATCACAATTTGAAACTTTGTTAAGGATGTGCAAACTGCAATATATCACAATATATGGACCTTTTTTTTTTTTTGCTTTTCTATTTTTATGGGTGTTGTTGGGAGGGGGAGATCGAACTAAGCTCATCCTAAACTAATGTCTGTTTATTTATTGATTTTGAAATTCTTAATATCAGACAGAAAACAGCTAAACACTAGAATGCGGTTGTTTACGTTTTACAGTACCTTGTAATCATCTATCAAAACTCTTTCTGCATTACTGGCAATCTCAGAAATTTTGTGTGAATGAGTCATTTCCATTGCATTCATATCCTCAATGCATGGATCTACACATGTTTTGATCTTCTCACACTCTCCATGGTCCAGTTTCAACAAATCTGCAGTGAGTAATTTTATCAGAGGACACTAAATGTAGTCAGAAAAAAAAAATAGTAATCTAAAAATGGCAAATACATTCTGTAGAAGAAAGAAGATTCTTGTTAGCAAGATCAGTTTCCTCAAGTATGAATGAAACACAGGCAGAAACTCGAGCATGGACCTGTTCATTTCTTGCCATTTCACTCCTGAGGTAAAGAAAAAGGTAAGAATAAACTGATCTTAATAGAATTTTATGAGTTTCATTCCATAGTTAATAGCTTACTTAACAATGGAGTCAATGGAGTTGGTATTTCTAGTATGTTGGCAAATAAGAGATTCTTGAGCATTCCTCCATTGCTCTTCAACTGCATTTGAATTTTTAACACTGCATGTTTACCAAAAGAACTGCTAAATTCTTTCATGGTGGCAGCAATATCGGTGTTTGAAATATTAATCTAAAGATTTACCAGCATCTTAAGCTTTCTTCTAAGCCACCTTTCCAGGTTTCTAATATAGTGCTATCCTCTATACGATGAGCATGTGTTGCTTCAATGAAACTTGCCCATTCATCCTGAGTAGAACTAGTGCAATCTTGGATTTTTGAAAATTCCTGATTTAGATTGCTGGTTCTACTATTAGCAGACCTTTCAAGGGCATCGAGTTCTGTTTGAACCTAGTTAAACCAGAAAAGGAATAAGATTCCATACGAAAATACTTTATGGAGTAGAAGATATTGAAATCTTTTGAAAAGGGAGTGCATACAAGATGTTTCTTCCGGGAATTTGAACTTGCAAGGAGCAATGCCACTTGTTCTAATATATCCCTTTCTTCATTTGCAGCCATTTCCTATCATGGATCAGAAGAGAAAAGAAATTTAAAGAAAAAAGAAAAGAGAAAGAATTATGAGATAAGAGCTAAAGAATTTGAGGTAACTACCTCAAACTTCGTTCTGATGTCACAAATTTGCTGACTATTCTTTCTTTGTGATTCTTCCTCCATATGTGCCAAGTTGGAGGCAGACGTGTTTAAATTCTTGAAGAAACTCAAGAGAACTTCAGAAATTAAATTAGTGGCTTGGTATGTTCGTGATTGAATCTGTTAGTCATAAAAAGGCAAAAAAAAAAAAAAGAAAAAAAAAAAAAGAAAGAAAGCATGATGAGTTCCATTTTGAAATGCCAGAATATAGAATCTCGATTTTAATAAAGTTTCTTGCTCCATGCCACTGTACCAGTTGTTCCTGTTCTAGAAATGCCTTCATCTTTACTTCCAGACCATTAAGGTTGTGTTCTAGACCATTAAGTATTGAAACAATGTCTGAGGAAATCTTTCCAACAAGCTGCACTAAATACGGGATGAATGAAGTGGCAGGTTGGTGGAAAAACATAACAAATCTCACTTAAAACTGCTAAAAAACTCACATCCATAATTGAAGACGAATGCTTCGATACTTCTGATGTAAATTTTCCAAATGCCAGTTGACAATTTTTACAGTGTTCTTCTGCTATGTCAGCCAAATTTTGGACATCAAACATGTAAACTTCTTTTAGCTTCTGGAGCAGATTCTGAAAATCCTCAGTTGCCTACCCTTAGGTACAGATAAAGAATATGAGTTTCAATTGCTGAATGTTATTAAAACAACATAATTACAGGTTCTTTAACTAACCTTGGACTTTTCAGATAAAAATAATTTTGTGTTTTCTTGTACAGCTTTCAGTTGCTGTGCCTCTTGTGATACAGAAGCTGCTACATCTGTCTTTAAAAGTTCAAGCTGTTGTGCCAATTGATTCTGGAAGTTCTGGAGAAGAACTCGGTTTCTTTGCTCTCTAAGATTATTATTTTCTGTTGAGATGAAGTAAAAATTTAATAGAAACAATTGACATATAATTGGATGAAACTGCCAAATCTCAAGCTTTGAAACAAGAACACGAACCTATTTCCGAACATAATCTGGATACCTCTGATTCTGCATTCTCTAGCTCAGCTCGAAGCTCAATTGCTTTTTCAGTAAGTGCCTTCTCTAAATACAATGTTGAGAATCAAATTCAAAGATCTTCAGTTTAAACTACTCTTGTAAGAAAAAAGCAATTTACAGACACAATACTATACATACCAGATGTGATGAGATTAAATACCAAATACTGCTTCTGTCTAATGGTTTCTTTTGCTTGACTGTATTGAGCTTCTACTTCTGATAAGGATTGTTCAGTTTTCTTGAGTTCTGTCTGCCATTAGAAGCAAAAAATATGAGACCTTTTTCTCTTGGCTTCGGCCATTAGGGGAAATACCCCTTCGTAATTGCTCTTTTACCTTGGCCATTGCGAGTTTTTCACCTAAATCTGCTGTCAACTTTTGCTGGTTACTATATAAATCTTCAAGTTCTACAATTTTCTGTTTCAAATATTTCAGTTATTAACCAGGGCAGGAGACTGAGAAAAAGGTAAACTATACTTGGGCGATATTTACCTTGTTTTTTAGCTCAAGATCAAGTTCCATGAGTCTCAGTTTTTCAGCCATTGCCTACAAAAAGGAAGATAAAAGACTTCTTACCCTTTATGTTGATATGAGGGGAAATTTGTTTATCAATAGCTGGAATTAGCACCTTCTGAGCAGCCTCATCAGACTGGTATCGATCTCGGGGTATGTAAATTCCATTCTTCTCCCTTGTTGCTTGTAATTCTAAGAATTTATGAAGAAAAACATGAATACCATGATCTATATAATGAAACTTCTAGATGCATAAAAAAGTCTGATCACAAGGCTGAATGCATATAAACCTTGCTTTAGGCGATCCATCTCAACGCATAGATCTTTGATGAATGCAGATTTTACAATTTTCTGGTTAACCTGAAAATGGAACCAAACCATGAAGTCTTCAAGGAGACAACAGAAAGAAGAAGAAGAATCTCAGTTAACACATTGCTTTACAAACCTCTGGTCTGTTCTTAATGATTTTAGCGCGAAATGCATAGTCAAGAGTACTGAGAGTCTCATCCAAGCATTGAAGAGATGGAGAAACTGTGGCAATTATGCAGGTCTTTGTCTTTCCTCCCAATGAGTCCTTTAATAGCCTCGTCAATTTGCTATCCCTAAACTCCCACATATATCTTTTTTCTAAGCATACATTTTCAAAAGTTCCTTCAAAGTTAGCTTTATATTTACCTGTAGGGAACATGCCCAGAGTGATCAGCCAATGCATTGATGACTCGACCTAGTGTAAGTAAACTCTTGTTTATCTCACCAGCTTCCCTCGCTCTTCCCTGCAGAAGGGAAGATCTTGATTTTGAATGATGATGGCCTAGATTTGTAACATAAACACATAAATGAACAATGCAGTACCTCTTTGGCACCGGAGCGCAGAATGTTCTCTGATCCAGCAAGATCAACTAGGTTCAGTTTCCCACATTTGATCAGCTCCACCCCCTCTGATACACATTCCTTGATTTGCACCGTGATGGAGAATATGGAATGAGAGCGGTTGCTTTGTTTGTTTAGCAGAGTCTCTGCAGTATGCTTTTTCGAAGAACCCCTCTCGAGAATTCTGTATATTTCATCTGCACTCGACACTATCTCCTCTTGCAGGCCTCTGATGAAGACAGCACTCTTGCCATCTTCCATCAGTTTTACTGCCTTAAGCTGCTTCTCATCTGAGAATGATCTCGAATCCTCTTCTGGGGAGAGCAGATCTGTTATTTCCTCATTGTAAAGCTCTATGAATGTCACCTTCATCATATACTCAGCTTTTTCAGACTCCAAACTGTTGAAAATCTGCTCTACAGCTCTTGGAATCACCCCAGCATTCTTGTGAAATTCCCCATTCTGTCATCATTAAGAATGAAGAAAAAGGGACCAAAACTATTCTAAGCCACACAGAGCAACAATACTACGAAATAAAGAGAAAAACTGTGGATTTTTATAGTTATGACCTTCTCCTTCCCTCCTTCCCCTTCCATTGTATATGTTTTCCCAGTTCCGGTTTGGCCATACGCGAAGACAGTGCAGCTATATCCTTCAAGAGCATCATCGACAAGAGGCGCTACAGCTTGGTTGTACAAGTCCTTTTGTTGAGTTGATGGACCAAATACCTAAAATCACAGTGAAGATGCAAATACATATTTCCATTCTTGGCAAACAGAATGTGACAACTGACAAAGCATCACCAAAATACCAAACCTTATCAAAGACAAAAGTACGATTCGTCTGTTTAGCATTCATGTTTAGGATTGCAGACACCTCTTGTTTCTCCTCATCACATGATATCACTAGTGGAGCCTTTGCCCTCACCTCATCCTCACTTGGTGGTCTGAAACATAAAAACCAGATGACTTCATCTGAGCTGGTAGTAAAAAAAGGGCAGATTTTTCTTGACAGAAAGCATTCAAAATTTCAAGAAAATGTTAGAAACATGTACCATTTGACCTGGAGAATACACAGAAACAACAGTCTCAGCTAAAAGCACACCATACACACAAAAAAGGGATTTCCCTATACAAACTTGTAACCACAAGGTCATGAGTTCGAATTCGAGCCTTATTGTTTGAATTGATCAGCTATAAGCAACCTAGGCTGGTTTACCTCCTTGTGGTCCTTTGCTGGCTAGGCTCACAAGGCAGGGTTTACCCAGTGCACACCCTTGGGTAGTGGACGGGTTTCCCTCATCACCCCAAAAAAAAGGATTTTCTTCACAGACAGCATTAAGATTTCAAGAAAAAGTCAAAGAAGATGCATCAGTTCCCTACCTGCAACGCAACACCACTTTCACATTCACTGGTCTATCATCGCTTAACCGCGAATCTCTGGAAGGCTTTTCACCTGACCACAGTGTTGATCCTGTAGGGGACATCCATGGAAGACTCACACTCCCTCTCCTCAACCTCGAACTATCCATCAATGGCTGTTTCTCCCTCTCTGCACTCATGGAAAGAATAGGGGAAAAACAAGAGAAGCTGCAGAAACTGAAACCAGTTCACTAGCTCAGGCAATTCTGCAAACGCCTCTAGTGCATAGTAACTAAACACCAAACACTGAAACCAAAAAGGAAATGGAAAACTAAAGAATATGCATCCACTGTTTTTCTTTTTGACTTATTTGATCACAACAGGTGTTTTTTTGAATAATATATATGCGAAAGATTGAAACATACTGCACACAAAATCGCCGGCCAAGTCGGCTTTTTTGGAAATATTACGGCCAAGTCGGCTTTTTTGGAAATATTACGGCCAAGTCGGCTTTTTTTGGAAATTTTAGAAATATTAATATAATACTTGTCAAACACAGGAGATGATGATGAAACCTTCATGGGGGAAAAGACAGAGTTTCCATTGTGATGATATATTGATATCAACAAACAAATGGAGAAAAGTAAAGAAAATCCATGGCTGTTACAAGCCTTCATATGCTTAACAGCTAACGTAATTTTCCTTTGAGCGTTTAACTGCTTTTTCTTTAGTCATGAACCGTTAAGAAAATACTTACTTAATTGATGATCCCATTGACCAAGGACCGCGAATTAATCTCATTTTTCAATCTAATTCTAATCTAAGATAATAAGTGTTGAAAATTAAGAAAAAAATTGTTATGTCATTTCTATAATTACGGTGCTTTTTTGGAAATGTTGACTAAGGACCGCAAATGTTGTATTATTAAGCGTTTTTAAATGCATCGTCATAATTATAGAATTCTCATTACTCTTTTTTCATTTTTTCTTAATTTTTTAATCATTGATCATCTTATGTTAATGGATAATATTAGTTCGCATGTTTTCACTACAATTATTATATCGTGGACTCGAATCCATCATGCGCATTATAAACCATAATATATACCTTTAGTTAACAAATTATGTACCTTTAACTTATTTATATGTCTATAATTTGTTAACTAAAGTTACATAATATTAACTGCAAATACATAATCTCATTGTCTACCTTTGTACATTATAGATATATATAGTTGATGTGGATAAAATAACGGTGTATTGATACGTAAAGGTTACAGTAGAGTTACAAACAGGCCGATCGTATGTGATGACCGGGATCCTCTCTAATCTAGTCAGTAGCCTAATCCAAAAGTCCTCTACTCAGGCATTTAATGCAGTATTTATAAGGGACATGGGGAACAGCACCCGGTCCTCCGGCATGTCGGACACGTGGTGAGCATGCACCGGGCCTCGCAGGGGCAGGCATGCGACCGTACACGTGGCGCATTCCTACTGCCAACGGCAGGCCCCACCTTAACCGGCCATCCCTCCCGGTCACCGATCAGACGCCCCGCAAGGCCTTCGAGGTTCTCCGTGCCAAGGGGGCGATCGGTCAAACGGGCAGGAGTCGTGACTGGGCAAATAGACCTGGCTGGCCGGGCGATCCGTATGACCGGTGTATATTCCCCATCATATAGTCCCCCCCAGTTCGGAGCCCGACGACACCCGGCGGAGGGGTGCGGGCTGACTCTTCGCTCCACCGGTTTGCCTTGGTCGGATGGATCACACTGGGTAGGTAGAGGTAGGGACGCGCGTAGGATGTAGCCCGCTACGTGTCGCCTGTACACAGGTCTCGAGATCCGGGTCTGGCGCATTCCCGGAGCTTCCTTTTCCCGCCTTTTTTCGTTCCTATAAAAAGGGGCTTAGGGGCCCATTATAAACTTTTCGCTTCTTCAGCGGACTCCAGAGCTTCCCGGTTGTCTCAACTTTCACGCCAAGAACTTCAAGCGGGTGCCATCTGCAGACCCTTCAAACGCTGAGTTCTTCCTTCCTTTCTTTTACATTGAAGTACAGCTACTCCCCCACTTAGACATAGGCTACGACCTGAACCGGGCGCCCGTACTGAAACGCCACCCCCCTCATTTTCTCTTTAAGGGAGAGGATGTCTAGCTCGGATAGCCAGAATATATCCGGTCGGGACTACGCGGCCGGGGACGAGTCCGGTACGGCGACCAGCTCTTCGCGGGACACCACCAGCACGGGCGAGTTCATAGACCGCTACACCGCGCCCCGTTCTCCGCACGCAACTGTCGGCTAGGACCACCTGAGAGGGTTCGAGGAGCGGAGCGGTTTCATAGCGGAGCGTCCCGATGGCGACGGCGACGGGGTGAATCTAGCGAGGTTTAAGTATTGAGCCCTCCGAAGGTCGGGTCGTCTCGCCGGGGAAAGTCGCCCCGGGTGATCTTCAGCGATGCCTCGGGTTCGGGGAAATCTCCACGAACGATCTTCGGGGCCCTACGTCCCAATCTATCCCCCTCTTCTCGTGACCGGCTTGCCGAAAATCTCAGGGACCCGGCTCCACCACCTCCTTCCGCTCCGGTCGCTTCCGCTTCGGGGCGGAAACTGATTTTCTTAAACAGCAAGGTCGTCAGGCGTTAGATGAGTACCCTCAGCCGGGCTGAGGCGAAGGAAATCACTTCTCTCCTCGGCGGGAAAGTTGCCTTTAATACCGACAGGGCACTCGGGAACGTCGTCGATCGGACCACGGGGCAATGGCTTGGGCTTCATTTCGACTCCCTGAGGGCCCCGCTAACCTTCCCGTTCAGCCCATTTCTGCTCACGTTCTTAGAGCACTACGGGGTTCTCCCCGGGCAAATCACCCCGAACGCCCATCGTATCATTGCGTGCTTCCCACAAGTCTGCGCTCGGCACGGCCTCGACTGTACGTTGGAGCTGTTTGATTTCACATACTCCGTTCGGGCGTTGGCACCCCGGTATGGCTCCGGATTCCTACAGGCTCAATCACACGGCCATCTGTGCAAGATACTCCATATCCCGAACAACAACCGCGGGTGGAAAAAGAGGCTGTTCTCCATCAAGTATACCTGGGATCTGCCGGTTCCCCGGGAGTGGGCCAGCCACTACATAGAGCAGGTTACCCCGGACGAAACCCCCGAGCTCGTTGACGCCGTGACTAAGATCTCGTCCGAGTTCTACGATTACCACACCTACAAGACTCCCGAGGCCTTTGAGGCGGCCCGCTTCGAGCCCCCCCGGTACGACCTTACGGAAAAGTACGAGCCTCGGCGAATAGAGATCACCATTGCCCCGCCGCCTCCTCCCCCTTCAGATGGGCCCGGAGGTTTTGCATCTAGCCGCTAACACTTCTAACGCCCGGTCAGGGTCGACCGATCGACTAACCTTGTTCGCTTTCTTTTGCAGGCATGGGTTTTGACAAGGCTTTCATTGCCGCTCCGGCTTCCTCCACCGGGCCCCGGCCCAAGATTGCGCTCGGAGGCAAGAAGGGCGTTGCCGTCGGTCCCGCTTCGGCGGACTCGGCGGTCCCGACCGGCCTTCCCCTCGGCGTTACCTCGGCTCACCCTGTCGATTCGGAGCCAGATTTGCAGGTCGTCCGTACCAACACCCGGAAGGGGAAAGAGAGAGAGACGGACGTCGACGTGGAGGAGGTCCCCCTACTAAAGCGGAGCAAACGGGCGAGCCCTTCCGCTGAGACCCGGTAATCAACGTCCTGCTAAGCGGGGAGCATCCCGAGGCCAAGCTCAACTGGCTGATTGATATCATCCTGGCCGGAGATGACGGAAAGGGGCAAACGCTGAACGAGATCGGGGAACGGGGAGCCGCCGACGTCGTGCAGGTAACCGCCCTGTTTCGCCCTTCACCCTTTACACTCACCGTTACAAGATAAACTCACTGTCTTTACCAACGCAGGTGACGCGCACTTTGGTGAACTTATTCCGTCGGGCGAAGGCGACGGAGGATGCCAAGGCCCTCCAGAAGCCTGCCGATCGCCACGAAAAGGAGGCCAAGGAAGCGCGCCGGAAGCTGCGAACTGCCACTGATCGGCTGGCCAAGGCGGAGACCCGGGCAACTGAGGCCCAGAAACAGCTGGATAACCCAGAAGAACTTGCAGCTCGGGTATGCCGCGACCGGGCTGAGGGCGAGGCTTTCTTCCGCCACTTTCTGAAGAACCCGATCGGCGAGGAATTGGCCTGGACCCTGGCCAAATGGGCTTTTAGCGCCGGCCAATGCCGGGCCCAGCGGGAGGATCGGGATGCTCTAGCCTCATCGCTCGACGACGATGATTTGGCCCTGGTCTTGGGGGTTCTGCCCGCAGAAGTGGGTTCGATCCCCACAGACGGCGCCAAATGATGTGGATAAAAAACGGTGTATTGATACGTAAAGGTTACAGTAGAGTTACAAACAGGCCGATCGTATGTGATGACCGGGATCCTCTCTAATCTAGTCAGTAGCCTAATCCAAAAGTCCTCTACTCAGGCATTTAATGCAGTATTTATAAGGGACATGGGGAACAGCACCCGGTCCTCCGGCATGTCGGACACGTGGTGAGCATGCACCGGGCCTCGCAGGGGCAGGCATGCGACCGTACACGTGGCGCGTTCCTACTGCCAACGGCAAGCCCCACCTTAACCGGCCATCCCTCCCGGTCACCGATCAAACGCCCGCAAGGCCTTCGAGGTTCTCCGTGCCAAGGGGGCGATCGGTCAAACGGGCAGGAGTCGTGACCGAGCAAATAGACCGGGCTGGCCGGGCGATCCGTATGACCGGTGTATATTTCCCATCAATAGTCATATGTAATAATGTTTTTGTGCTTTGCAAACGGTATACAAAAGTGTAAATTTCAGTGTCTCTTACCGAAAATGAAAATGATTGGGTTATTTTGGTCATATAGCATTTTTTAAAAAATGTTTTCTGTGGTTTGCCAGAGACATACAAAAGTGAACAACTTTTTGTACCTCTTACTAAAAATAAAAATGGCAGGTGTATGTTAATCATGTTTAAAAAATAAAATAAAAATTGTTTTTTTTTTTCAAAATTGCTCCTTTTTTTAATTATTATTATTATTATTATTATTATTATTAGGCATGATCAACCGAGGCAAAAGTCACCAAAATTAATATATATCATTCAGAGATGATAATAAATATGATATTAAATATTAAATTTAAATTCAATTATAACAATGAGCACTTCATTTAAACAATTAAACATAATGAACATTTAGCACAATTATGATAAATATTGAATACACACTTGACTAACTAGGTACTACTCTCAACATCATAATTAGCATTTTAGTAAAACTTTATCAAGATTACAATTTGGAATGCTTATTCCCAAAGTGGTAGCACTTGTGCTTGGAACATGATGGCGATGGCAATGGCAATGGATTGATGTTTCTTAAAGATAGGTTACAACATTTGACCTATTTAGTCTTTAGAAGTTTTCCTTCAAAAAAAAAAAAAAGTCTTTAGAAGTTTATTTATTTTTAATGAAAATTTAATTTTGGACCAACTCAAAATGTCTATTTAGTTGCTAGCTGGTAAATACTAAATAGTTTTTAATAAAACAATAAAGTTCTCACTGTGGAAGTTGTCTATTAAATTTCTTGATTTGACTCCCTTTATGATTCTTTGTGACTTTTCCGACTAAGTCACAAAACAGACTTCACGCAGAACACATATTTAGGTATTTGTTACTGATTTTTCCATAAATCAAATTATTTTACATATTAATACACTTAATAATTAATTTTATCAAATATTTCGTGCAAACCCTTAATACAAAATTTATTTATTTATGTTTGTAAATGCAATTTCTTATTTCTAAAATAGTTCAAATTTAACAATTATTTTATTTCAGTTCTGAATCGTAATCAAAACCGTCCATACTATTTTGATTCGATTGTATCATGTCCGATTAGGTACGAATCAAACCGTACTTATCCCTACATATCATCAATAATTTGTTGATGAAAAGAGTAAATGAAATCCTTATTTTTAAGTGTAAAAATGTTCATTTAACACTAAAAGTAAAAAAATTGCCACTTTAACATAACTAAGGAGCAAAAGTGAATACATGGATAACGCAGAAGAAAAAAGTGCTAAAAGAAAAAGAGCTGGGAAACGCTTTACAGATTTCGTTTTCCATGCAATAGATATAATGGGCGATTAATTGTCGCCTTTATACTCCGGTGATTGATGCGGACTAATACATGATTAGCGCGTGCTTGATTATCGCCTTGTGCTCCGCCGCCTCCACCGCTTGACGCCTCCGCGGAATAGTTGTAGACTTGTAGCTTCGTATGGTACAGGGAAATGAGCTCGTAGACTTTGAATGACACGGTCGATGAATGAAAATACACTACGACATATATGAACAGGAAAAGGCTAATACACGCCATTTCCGAACGCGTATGCTCTGCAAATCAATCGCCATTTTCTTGCGGAGTTGACAAGTTTCTGCAGCCCAGAAGACTCGCCAGACGGCCTAAACCACCAAGGTTTCTGGATATTATCAAAGCTTCAAAGCCAAATGTCACTGGTAAACGGGGGGCCCATCTTCGCCTCATTGAGGAATTTCTTCAAACGGGTATCGGTCAGCTGGATTGGCACCGCTCCGGTGAAGAAAATTCAATTGCATTGCTGTCTAGACTTCACAGACAAGGGTTGAGAACTGACCCAAGTGTTCTATCAAATGCTTTGAGTTCATGTGCGTCTGAAAGAGCTGTTAGTGTAGGAATTCAAATTCACTGCTTGGTAATGGTAAATGGGTTTCTGTCGAATGTCTATGTCGGGAGTTCTTTGATAACACTGTACGCGAAATGTGGCGGGGCGGGGGATGCGTACAAGCTGTTTGAAGAAATGCCTATGAAGAACGTGGTGTCGTGGACTGCTGTGATCCATGGGTTTTCACTAGAGTTTCAGGTGGATGAATGTTTGCAGTTGTACAGGGAAATGAGGAACTCTGCATTGATGCCCAATGAATTTACGTTCACAAGCTTGCTTAGTTCATGCACAGGTAGTGGGTGCTTTGGTCAAGCTAGGAGTGTACATTGCCAAACAATTTGTATGGGTTTGGATTCTCATTTGCATGTTGCAAATGCACTTATTGCAATGTACTGTAAAGGTGGGGAGATTGAGGATGCTCATTATGTATTTCAAAAAATGAATGGTAAAGATTTGGTTTCATGGAACACTATGATTGCAGGTTATGCACATCATGGGCTTGCATCAAAAGCTATTGAACTTTTTGAACAAATGAAGGATCAGAAGGTGAAACCTGATTCCATTACTTTTCTTGGGATTTTATCTGCTTGCCGTCATGCAGGATTAGTCAAACACGGTTGGTTTTATTTCGATACAATGGCTTGTTATGATGTGAAGCCAGAGCTAGACCATTTTTCATGCATTGTAGATCTTCTTGGACGAGCAGGGAGGGTAGAAGAGGCTCGTAATTTGATCAAGGAGATGCCCGTGAAACCTAATGGTATAATATGGGGTTCACTGCTGATGTCTAGTAGGCTTCATGGGAAAGTGGAGGTGGGGATAGAGGCTGCAGAAAATAGACTCATGCTTGAACCATGGTGCACTGCTACACACTTGCAGTTGGCAAATCTATATGCAAGCATTGGCTTGTGGGATCAGGCTGCAAGAGTACGAAAAGCGATGAAAAATAAGGGGCTTAAGAGTGACCCAGGGTACAGTTGGATTGAGATAAGGAATGAGGTTCATTATTTTAAAGTAGAAGACAGATCACTTGCCCAATTGAATGAGATTGTTCCTATTATGGACCTTTTGGCTGATCAAATGAGAGATATTGGTGAAGAAGAAATAGATTGCTCACTTTGAGCTGCAGTGCCTGACATAATGGTACACTATGACATAGATAAGGCTGCGATGGATTACTCATCAAAGAATTGCACTGGACATATTTGCTTAATGTTAAGAGTCCACATTGACAATATAAGATAGAATATATGGTTTTATAAAGTCATGAGTTAGACTAGCTAATTGATTGGTTTCAATCTTTTAGTGTGATTTGGCCCTTTTAGGATATAACATAGTATCAGAGCCAGACAAAACTCTGATGTACACGCAAGGAAAGTGAAAGCGAGTATTAATCTAACATCTCACCCAGAGCCTAAAATAGAAGGCCCTTAATGTGGTGCACTTTTTTTGAAGTTTGGAGATGATTAACTTGGATGTACACAGACTGGGCACCAACTCTAGTAAGTTACATCACAAATTAAAGGCATAGTAATAGCTACTGGATCAAGATATTTTATTTCCATACATTCTTCTAATTTATGGGGTACGGTTAGGATTATTTTGCTCCTCCCTGTCTTTGACTATGATGTTCATAGGTACATTCATGTGTTAGTTGGGGAGTTTATAGGTTTATGACTTATGATTGTCATAACAGAAACCTAATAGAAATAAAATTTAAGATTACAGTTGTTTGTTTTCTTATTTTATGTTTTCTGGATTTCCCAACAACTATCTTGATAAGGTCAGCTTGGAGTTAAAATAATCAGGTCACAATGTCACATAGATTTTTCTGTTACAGTAAGTGGGCTTTCTATAAATTTTGATGATCAAAGGAACATCAATTGATGCTTGATTGCTTGAAATGATATGATTAGCAGTATTCTTCTTGTTAGAGAACATGGATTTCCACTGTTATAAGGAGACATAACAAAATCTGTTGTCACTAAAAGAGAAGAATCCCAGACAGTTTATAACCAAAAATGGAAGAAACCTGCTAATACCAGGTCCTTAACTCTCAAAACCTAGATCCCTAAAGCAAGGAGACATCAAGAACATGATTCCAGCTCATTGATTTCTTTATTATATTTCTTTTTTTTTTTTTTTTTTGAAAGAAATTTATTATATTTCTTGAAAGTGAAATTTCATGAACTGCCAATTGCATGTTAAATAATATCCAAGGTGGAAAACTGCAGATAAAATCAAATTCAAGTTTCATTCCAGTCTTTGGTGATTTTTACATGAATGTTATTTAACTTGTTATATTGGCTATTGTTTTCAAATGAGGCGCAGTGGTAGACTGGTAGGTGGTTTCTCACTTTCTGGTACTGTACTGTGAGTTGTTGCAGTCCAGAATGCAAAGAGCATGAAGCCCTAGACAAAATTGGAAATAGTCAATGGAGATTGGTTGAGTTCACCCAAAAAGCCAGGTTAGATTTCTACTACCAGCAATCTCCTAGTAAATACATTGTGCATCTGTGGCAACCCGAACTAAGTTGGTCAGGTTGTTAGCCTGGTAATCATAAGATTTCAAGTTCGACTTTCACTGGGAGCGACCTGTTTGTTTTCTTGGTTATGGGGAACTTAGGCTAGTTTTACCTCAGCTCCTTGTGGTCCTTTGTTGATCAGAGTCACAAGGCAGGATTTACCTAATGTACGCCATCAGGTAGCAGTTGCAGATTTTCCTCGTCACCCAAATACATTGTACATCTTCTTTAAAACTTACCACACCGGTGTACCATCCTTATTTTATACTGAAGTAGCATTTCTTCAACAAATCTCGAAGGGGTAGCCGAGGTGGGTAGAGTATGATTCTCGCACTTAAAGATTCTTGTCATATATGCTAGTGTAATTTATTTCTCTTGTGTGGTTTGCAAGATATTATTACAACAATGAATTTTACCCAATGCACACCCTCGGGTAATGGTTACGAGTTTTATTAGTCAATCAAAAAAAAAAAAAAAAAAAAAAAAAAAGAATTGAGAAGGAAGAATGGTAAGGTCCCAGTAGCTGAACATCCAATACCTAATGTGGCTTATAGTCCAAATGATGAAAGCATATGGTTGAAGAATAACTGAAGATTCCCATCCAGCCAGCCAACACAGACTGCAATTGGGAAATGGATTTCGTGAGGAGATGGAAGGCGTGTGCAGTAGAAATTAGGAATTTGTTGGCCACCACTCACCATATCACAACCATTTGGAAATTTGAATTGACATTTCCCATCATTATATTATATTAATTAACCTTCCTAATTACATCATTACCATGTTAAATTACTTTCTATATTATGCACCAAATTCTAAGCTTACGCTAACCATCTCGTCTTAGGTTGTAGCTCTTCTTAGGCTACTTGAAAAGTCTACTTATGTTACTTATGTGTAAGTAACATAATTAAGTAAATCAAAGAAAAGTCTAGTTATGTGTAATAAGTTGCGTTTAGGGTGATTAGACTCGTGATAGAAAGGGAAATATTAATTATATTTTTTAAAAATATATTTGGTTATTACGTGATATGTATTGATTGGACGAAAGAAAAAGAAGAAAAAGAATAGAGGGTGAAAAGGTGTGTCTCTCTTTCGAACGATTAATTAACACATTAAAATGTAAAGAGTAAAATAATTTTTAAAGAAATTGAGATATTGTTGTGTGCACTACATCATTAGACTCCAGCATAAAAAATAATGTTGATAGGAGTGATAAAGGGCAACCCAGTTTAGCTGTGACGCGAAATATTTTGTGTTGGAGTTGCTTCATGCCTGCCTGGGACTGAAGTTAAAGGCAATATAACATGACCTTAAGTTGTGTTATGATAGAAATGTTGTAGAGTCGAATTAAAGAGGATTTGTAGGTTAGTATTTAGAAGATTGAAGAGGAAATCAAGAGAATGCATCTTCATACGAGTATTTTAGGTGATGAGGGAAACCCGTAGCTATTATTCGATGATATGCACAAGGGAAACGTAACCCATATATACGAGTATTTTGAGTGTCTATCCAAGAGTTAATTGAACAAGATTGTGATTGTATGGTAACACATATCTATATAATAAATCTATACTAAAAGTCAATACTTATACTACTGTTTGATAACTTTTCACAATCACCTCGACTACTACTACGATCTCCATATATTTCAAACTCTATCTTAAAGCGGCCAAATCTTTACTTTTCACTAACCTTATGAGATTTGTTAAACCATAACAATACAGGTTTTCCTTTTCTTTCCTTACATCAAAATAAATAAACCATTTAATATAATCAAGATTGGACGTGCATAATCCAAGGGTGACCACTTCCCATAAATGATACGGAGTAGTATTGATTACTAGCATTTCTCAAAATGCCTTTCACTTCCATATTTGGCTAAAGCCATCAAAAGATGGAATACAAGAGCGATGAATACCCAATGGAGTTATTCAAGTGGCAAATAGTAAACTCTTTTTTGGGGAAGTATTTTGAAATAATTCGGGTTCAATTTCATAAGTAACAATTTTTCTTGAACCAACTCTTGTATCTTTTGGAGGGATGAATACAATATAATTTTATGTTATTTTTTATTATTTTATTTTATTTTTAATACGTCTTGAATGATTAGAGTAATGTTACACATGTTTTCAAAAAAAAAAAAAAAAAAAAAAAAAAAAGAGTAATGTTGCACATACTGACATACGCTCAATTTTTACCATATTTTTTTTATTCATTTCTTACGTGACAATATGACATGTTTTGATTCATTCAAAAAAAAAAAAAAAAAATTAGACCATAATTTTTACCCTTTTTTTCTATTAATAAAATAATAACACATAACGCAAGTTTTACTCTATATATAATATATCAATTCTTCTTAGAGATATGTGTCAAAAGAGTGAAAGACAAGCGTACTTATACTATACGAACATTTTATTATTAATTATTGGCACATGGACTTTAGGTGAGGCAGCCAATTATTTCGTTTTTTTTTTTTTTTTTTTTTTTTTTTTTTTTTTTTTTTTTTGGAAAGGAAATACGATGAAAAATGTACGTAAATAGGTAATACTACTTGGAAAAGCAATCAACTTGGTAAATTGAATAAGAAGAACATGGCTTAGCCCCAAAAAGGATGATCCGGCGGGTGAATCATGACTCACATACCTAAAAATCAAAAAATCTATTGTTGTCAATATTTTTTAATCAAATTCATCGCATAAAGTATTTCTAGTGTGGTTTACCTCATAGGAGTGGGACATGACTTATTAGTTAACCAAAAAAAAAAAATTATATTCACTTTTTAAATTTAATAATTTCATATTAAAAGTTTTAATTTTTATGCAATTATATCTAATTTTATTATCGAAATTGCGATGATTCCACCGATAGTCAATTAGGAAGTATTATTAAACATATTGTTAATTAATAGACAAGTTAACTATTCTTTGCATCCCTACTTTATGTGTCAGGTTCGGTTAAGGTTTCAGTCAAATACTATTAGACATTAAAAATTAAAATTTAAAATTATAAGAAAATATTAAAGATGGAATCATAGAATTAATTTAACCAATAAATACTAAACATAACACTTAAAATGGAACAAGAAAACAATTATTTTGGGTTGGATAATAACATTTGATAATGTTATTTTGTCTCACATGGGAGATGACATGTGCCGGAGGTAAACTGGCCAATTCGCTAAGTGGGTCGTGGGTGCAATAGCAACACCTCTCGGTATAGTACATGGATACTTATGTAGTTATGTAAATGTACCGGTTACATATAAATATGATATTTGTAACACTAAACGTAATATCATAATAATTATTAAAATAATTGCTTTGCTCTCTTGAACACATTGCCGACCCGTGTAAACCATGTATTCTTCTTCATATTATGTTTGTTATTGATTTCTTGATCTCATTTTCTCAACGGATAAAATTACACAAAAATATAAATTTGGTATGAAATAACTAAAATTTAAAAATGTTTATATAGTTCTAATTAACCAAAGGAGAAAAAAATACAAAAAAAAGAAGGATATAACACACTTTGAAAAGCATGCATTCAACTTAATTAAGTGAAAAGTAGAATAACATTGAGTGCAAGAAACTTAATTTTACCTAAAATAAAATAACATTATATATATGTGAATAAAATAATATGTTTAAAAAAAAATATTTTGCATTTGTTTTTTTGATAAAAAGCCATTCAATATTTTGCATTGTATTTGTTAATACTTAAGTAACTCAACGTAAGTAGTCATGATCCAGAAAAATCTCGTGTTAAAAAAATAAATTATTTTGCATTTGTTAATACTTAACTTAAAGTAAGTAGTCAAGAACCATTTTCACAATAGCTGAAAACCACATTCTGAATTTTATAAACAAAACCATTTTCACAAGAAAAATGGTAGAAGTGTGATGGTTGTTTCCTTCTTTTCTTTGCTGGCCTAGCTAGCCTGGTGCTCACCTAAATTTCCACTTCAAATCATATCTAAATATTATATAATTTGAAAAAGATTACTATATTAATTTACCCGATATTAATAGTATCAAGTACAATTATATATATTATTATTATTATACGAGTACTATCATCAGTATTGTAACTAATAGTATCAATTCATCACAATAAAATATATTGTACATTGTTGTACCCGATATGATACTAGCTATCATACCATAAAAAAAATGATATAATTTAATATATTATTGTTAAAGTGTGAATTAATACCAGTGTTAATTAATGTCCTTGCTAATGGCTCGTAGCTCTCTAACATTATCATTAACCACACCATGTCTCCATACAAAAATTTTAACCCAAATTTATTTTAGCGCATGTGCTACCCTTAATTACAATAGACTAATCCATTTGCTATTGGTTTCTCAACGGTACAATATATGTTTAGTCCCATACAAAATTCACTACATCGATCTCCGATGTATTCTATATATATCTCGTGACACTATATATATATATATATATATATATATATATATATATATATATATATATATATATATATATATGATGGGATAAGGACCCCGGCTCAAGAAATAGGGGCCCAAAGGAAATAGTTCAAGACAGGGGAGGTGGGCCAGCCTCTGAGAAGCCCCAAAAGCAATTGGGCCGAGTCCTGGAGTCGGCCCAAGCCCAGGCACGGGGCCGGGGCCGGAGCTGCTAAATAGAAGCCCAGTAGGAATTCAGGCCGAGACGAGGAGTCGACCGAGGCCCAGGACCCGGAGAAGATTCGGATCAAGGAGCCGTTGAGGGCATTGAAGAGGCTCGTTTAAAAGGGAGCCGTTAGGGCATTAAGAGCAGGACCCGGTCAGGCTGTTACAGACCGGGAAGAGCCGTTGGCCGACCGAGTAACGGCGCCCAACGGCCCCATCTCTTGATTAGTCTTAAAGTCGGCCATTATGAGCCTTTAAGTCGGTACAAGGGAAGCCCCTATAAAAGGGCTCCTCCACCATTGTAATAAGGATCGGAAAAAAAAAAGAGAGAACCCGGAGAGGGAATACAGAGCATTTTTAGCATCACGTTTCACCGCAATTGGGCTTTCTATTGAAAGGTGTATCCTCCAGCTGAAAGGTTGTGTTGGACCTCCTTGGGCCCGAAAACCCTAAAACCATCACTGGCACCGTCTGTGGGGATCGAACAAAGAGTCGTGTGCCCTCTGAGTAAAGCGAGTCCGAGAGATCGTTGAAAAGAGCCCTAGCCGCGAGAAATCGAAAGGCTTTACCATGACAGGAAGCCAAGAGCAGTTGAGTCAACACGATAATGGGCTAAGAGCTGACCTAAGAGATCAGTTGAATCAAAGAAACGCCCGAAGCCGGGAAAACGACGCGACA